CCCTGTCATGTCCCAGCTATAGGGCACACTGCCTTTTCATTCCCCCTTATGTCTCAATCTATAGGGCATGGCTGCCTTTACACTCCCTATTAAGTTCCAGCTATAGGGCATGATTCCCTTTGCATTCCCTGTCGTGTCCCAGCTATAGGGCACAGCTGCCTCTGTACTCCCTATTAAGTCCCACCTATTGGGCACTTCCATTCTACTCGTTTTACCCTTTTATCCACAGGCTTCTTCCATTCTAACCTTTGAATCCCTTCTAGCTGCAGTGTGTCTGCAGGTTTCTCCTTAAATCCCAGTCTTGAGATGCCTCTGTGCTCACTCTAAGCCCCCTGTGGCCATGGGGTGCCTTTGGGCTCCCTGTCAAACCTTGCATCCACGGGGTGCTCCAGCCACAGTGCACCTCCAGGCTTCTCATTAAATTGCAGTTTTGGGGCACCATTCCATCCATCCTAGTTATGGGGCACCTCCAGGCTTCCCATCCCATCCATTCTAGTTATGGGACACGCCTCTAGGCTTCCCATTCCATCCTGGTCCCATTAAACTTCTAGCTCTGTGCTGCCTCTGGGCTCCCTCTTTAGCCATGAGGTATCTTTGGGATCTCTGTTAAACCTCAATTATGGGGTGCCCTCAAACTCCCTATTGATCTCCCTCCAGCCACGGTGCACCTCCACATTTCCCATCACACCCCAGTTGTGGGGCTGTGGCTTCATACTGCACCATGGTTGTGGGGTGGGGTACCTACAGGCTTACCTGTTACATCCTGACTGTGAAGAACCTCAGGGCTTCTTCCCATCCCATCCCAGTTGTGAGATACCTCCAGGTTCCCCATCACATCCCAGTTGTTGTGGGGTATCTCCAGGCTTACCTGTCAGATCCTGGTTGTGGGGGTACCTCCATGCTCCCATCACATCTAGCTTATGGGATATCTCTAGGCTTACCTGTTAATCCTGGCTGTGGTGTACCTCTGTGTCTCCCATCACACCCCAATTAGTTTTGGGGCTGTGGGGTATCTCCATGCCTCCCTTCACCCCCCAGTTGTGGGGTATCTCCATGCATCCCTTCACCCCCCAGTTGTGGGGTATCTCCATGCCTCTCCTCAACCCCCCGTTGTGGGGTATCTCCATGCCTCCCCTCACACCCCAGATTAGGGTATCTCATGCCTCCCTTTGCATCCCACTTGTAGGATATCTCCATGCATCCCTTCTTACTCCAGCTGTGGGGCATTTCCATGCTCCCCTCACAGCCCAGTTGTAGGGTATCTCCATTCCCCCCCTTTACACCCCACTTGTGGGATATCTCCATGCCTCCCTTCCGACCCCAACTGTGGGGTATCTCCCTGCCTCCCCTCACCCAGGCTGTGGGACCCCTCACCCCTCCCCACGAACCCCTGTGGCCGCAGATTCCCCTATGGCTCACCTCCCCCTGGCCATCAGCCACCTGCATCCCAAAGCTGCACACCATCTCCTCCCACCTCCCCAAATCCTCCACCCCACCCTCTCCCTAAGCCACCCTCTCCCTAAGCCACCCTCTCCCTAAGCCACCCTCTCCATAACCCACCCTCTCCATAACCCACCCTCACCATAACCCACCCTCACCATAACCCACCCTCACCATAACCCACCCTCACCATAACCCACCCTCCTTCTTCTTCCTCATCCTCCATCTCCTCCCACCTCCCCAAATCCTCCATAACCCACCCTCACCATAACCCACCCTCC